ACTGTGATTTGTCGTTTTTTTTTAATTATTTTATAGTGATCACTATAGTCTAATGTTTAGAATGTCAAAATATGTTCTCTTTTATTTTAATTTTGAAAGTTTTACTCAGTCTAGTAACCTGCTAAATAACGATTTTGTCCAGGACAGTGTACAAACGTGCGCCGGTGTCTGTGACGATCACGGTAACCAACTACACCAGAACGGACATATTTCGCATCTAACTCAACCCCATGCAACAAAAATTGATACTATGTGTTCATTATAGTCCATTCTTTCTCGACGAACAAGTACATAAGCGACAATTTAGTCAAAGACGAGAAAACTGCACAAGAAATTTGCCTTATTTACACATATCGGCAATGCAAGCTGCCATGCGACTTCCCCTTCTGACGTCTCAAGGGGAATTTCTGTATGCAAATGAGAAGCTAATGAGGAGCCTCGTTTTAAAATACACAAAAATAAAGTTGCCGTAGACTGAGTTTAAAACACATTTTTTCACTTAAAAAAAATTCATGCTTAGAAACATAAAAATTAATAATATTTATGTATCAAATGGTAATTTTAGGCGTGGAAATAGCAGCCATTTCACAGGCACTTTAAAGCTGTGAAAATTTGGTGTTAATCCGTCAATAATAAGTGTACGTTATTTTTTGTTAAAGACCTTGTATTTTGAAAAACATAAACTCCTAGAAAACGTCACAGCAAAGATTTTCAAGTTTGTTTATCTGCACAAGCGATTAGTTTTCCCATCAAGGTCTGCTTTAACATGTGTAGGGACATCCAAATGTGTAAGGCTATTGGAAACCAAAAAATAAAAGAAATGGGATAGCTATAGTTCGATGAAATCGGCAGATGAAAACACCAAAATCAATGATTTTTTTCAGTGGCTGTGTGACATTGGGCGGAGACAAACCACTCAAATGTTTGGAAACACTAATTGTGTGTCAGAAAGCTACTGATAACACATCCTAACATTGCTTTGTCTTGAGTTTATCTTTGAAACTTATAGGCACACAGATTAAACCTGTGTTGTTGATTTTGGAAAACACTACTGAAGCTGCCTTGCTTCCCCTCAGAAAATCTACATTTTAACCAACTTACTTGACATTCTAGGTTACATTGACTTTATCAGATGAAAGTTTATAGTGCATTTCATCAATTAATAAATAAATGTGAAAATCGTAATTCTCAACACAAATAATAGTCTCGCTACCTTAAACCAGTTGTAACTCCTTCTGGCTTTTACCTCCATGTAATAATTAAGCCAGATATTAAGCATATTCACTGATTTATGATGGTTTCAATGTAACAACTAATTAAATTTATTCAAAGATGCATATATGCATTGTGTTACATCCTGCCAAATGTTTTTTTGTTGCGAGTACCGGTAATAGGTTAATGTATTATAATTGACTGACAATGAAGGCAATACATGTAATTTAAACAAATCGTATTTATACAGCTTGCAGTCTCTGGGGTCAGTCTGCTCCTAATAACTTCAGTGACTGTATACATTGTATTGGATATTTTCAGTGCTCATAATTTATTGCCCTCATAAATACTATGTCCGTTCGTCTGCTTGTCTACTTGTACCAAATAGTTAATACATACATGTATGTGTAGTCAACACATACCGGTATGTATTAACTCTTCGGTGATATTTTTGGCTGGACTGATTATTTAAACTTGGCAATCAGATCACACCAGCACTCTAGTTAGGTGGAAAAATCTATCAATTCTGCCCTACTGTTGCCTGGTAACAAAACATCTTTTTCTTCATCTGGTAACCTCCTGTAACTTTTTGTGGAATTCCTTATGAGGAAGATTTACAGTTCAACTGACAATTATTTGTTTGATATTTTTGTTCCCACTATTATTTGTAATCGTGTATTTTCTGTAAGATCTATGTTCTTTCATATAGTCTTATTGCCCTTGTGTTTTCAAATGCAAAAAAAACACTGAGACCAAAAATACCAATTTTCAAACAAACTTCTATGATATTTTGATTAAAACATGAATTCCATCTAGTGGATATAAATACATATCTATTAACATCCAGGGAAACAAAATATCAGGATTTAATTGTTTAATAAGGAGATGAGAAACAGCATTCCAACAAAAATATCATATATATAAAGATCTGTCGGAAATTAACCTACATCAATGCTTGTGTTATTGACAATATATGTTTGTTTAATATATATTTTCTCCAGGAACTGGTAGTGGATCTTTATCCCATGCTATTATTCGCAGTATTGCTCCCACTGGTCATTTATATACCTATGACTATCATCAGCAAAGATGTGACAAAGCCAGGGAAGAATTTACAGACCATGGTATTGGTGATTTAGTTACTGTTTCATGTCGAGATGTGTGTAAGGTGATTATGATTGTATATAACATTGGCAACACTATAAAAATTAAAGGGTGGTGGTCACCTGGTCTAGAATGCACGAGATATGGGTCTAATATAAACAAAGATGGCGACTTTGACTGTTGCGCAGACCAGCAAATATAAACTGAGATGTTACTTGCAAGCTTTAGCTAAGTAATTTGTACATGTACTTGTGATTTTAATTGGAAGAGGGCATTGACAAATGGCACATATGCACGGCGGATGACCACCACCCTTTAATGATTGGTACAGATATTATTGTTTTAACATTAGTCAATACAATATGAACTTCTTAGTTTTGCTGTCATGGTAATGACAGAGCGGAGCTGTTCATATACCGTACATCCCAAGTGCCCTACATCCATTCAGAGTGCTAGGTGAAAGTACAAAACATGGTTCACACCCTTTCTATTCTGTTATTTACTGTAATTATTTGCAATAGTAATCCGTATCTATTTGTGTGGTAGCTTTCAAAATGCCAAAAATGCGACTGTCACAGCATGAAACCTGGGCATTGTTTTTCTTTGGTGTGAATGAGTAAATTATTCTTTGACCTGACCTGTTGGCGACTGTTTACTTTTCAAAAATTGTGAATCATCAGTTTTTAGGGAGAAAAATCATTGTTTTTTTCATTGAAATCAGTGCTAATAGATCGCATTCTAACATCGCGGTAATATACTTCCACATTGCGTTAAAAAAAATTACCCTCTCAATAATCGGAAAATTCATCAGTACAATACACAGCATTTTGATTGGTTAATGAAAGACTTAAAATTGACTTGTTAGGTCAAAGGACGTTGTTTCACGTCAAATCGTGCTGAAAAGCATAATGGTGGAAAATGCTTAAATGTAACAAAAGAATTCACTATTAATAGAGTAAAACAGGGATGTATAATTAGCCCAACACTTTTCAGCATTTTTAGTCCCCGTTCGAACGCAGTCCGATAACGAGGACTTATGTTTTGACGTCCGTGCATGCGTGTGTGTATACGTGCGTC